CCTCAGGAGAACTGGTGAGCCAGCTTCAGGCACTTGTGCAAACCATTGTTTTCATCTAAAATTTCCTGCAAAAAAATTGAAAAATGAGAAACATGATTTTTATATGTCAGTGTAAGTCCATATTTATTGCAATAAATGTTTAAGGTAATAACAACTGTTTACTTCCTGGTAAAAAGAGGTTAAGTAGGCTAATATATATTTCTGGATCTTTTTTGTTCCCCACCCCACTTCACAAGGCCTCCCATCTACATTTCACTTGCCAATACATATCCTATTCCTTGAAGTCTGATCTCCTCTTTTGTGAGCCAGCAGTTGAATTTTTCAGCCTACTGCAGCATAAAATGCTGTAAAAAGGAGTTAAGATTTGTTTTCATTTATTTATTCAAGAAATACTTGCTGAGCTCTTAATATGCCAGGTACTGCAAATAGAAACATGATTAAACAGACCATATTGCTAACAATAGATCCTACCAGGGGCATTATGTACCTGATGGTATTGTTAGTTATTTGATTGAAATTTGAAAAGTTTTATTGGGAAGTAGAAGGTGCCAAGGGAGTGTATACTGGTGGATATAGCTGATAGACCTGATTGCATGGTGACATGAGTCCCCAGAAGCAGGAGAGGAAAAACCAATGCCCATGTATTTGTTGAGCCTTTGTTTCTGTCACATTTGCTAATGTCTCATAGGTCAAAACACGTCACATACCCAAATCCAGATTCAAGGGTTGGAAGAATAGATTCTATCTCCAATGAGAGAATCTGCTAAAATATTGTGGCCCTAAAAAAAACAAAAAACAAAAAAAAAGAAAGAAAAAAAACCCCACACTACAAGACTATCTACTTATTTGCAAACATCTATATAGGAATGCCAACTATTTTTCACCTTTGCTTTCAGATATTTTGTTTTATTCCTTCAGTTTCACAGTTGAATTCCACAACTGTCTTCATGGAACTCTGATTTCCTCCTCAATGACTCTTGAGTTTTTCTAAATAAGCCTTTGTCTTTCTAATTACCACAAATCCTCAAATAAGCCGCTTTCTACATGTGCATATGTCTTTTGAATAATCTACATTAATAAAAGAGAAATATGCAAATTGACCATAACTTCATGACACCCAACAACCAATCAGGGGTGAATATGCAAATCAACACAACTAAGATGGCTGGCTAATTTGCCTACACAGGCATAGAGCTTGGACTGAAGACTCTGGCCTGAGCGAAGCCTGAAGCCTGAAGACTGAAGACGACTGAAGCCTGAAAACGGAAGGCTGAAGACGACTGAAGACTAAAGACTGAAGACTGAAGAGGCTTTCTCCACTGTGGCTGGAGTGAAGGCCTGGTTCCTGGGTGCTGGAGGAAAACCAATGCCAGCAGCCAGGGGAAGGAAAGCTTATTGCATGAATCTTTGTGCAATGGGCCTCTAGTACAATATAAAACTAAATCTGGAAAATTTTACAGTTTCACATTTTTGGTCATTTCCTGACCTAAGTGGCAGGGCTGTTCAGAAATTATATTGAATAAATTAGTTAAAATGAAGTTGGGAAGGTAGAGAGTAACACCTTCTCTTTTGTTTTCATTTTTTAAGTATCAACATATATTGATCTCTTTTCTCCCCATTCCTTGCAAAGTAAAACAACAAAACATAAATGCTTTAAAATAATAGTGAAATTGCAAGCTTCAGTCATTATAAAAAGAGAAGCCCTGTCTGGCTATTGTGGCTCAGTGTTTGAGCATCTATCTATGAAAGTTTGATTCCTGGTCAGGGCACATGCCCAGATTGCGGGCTCAATCCAAAGTAGGAGACATGCAGGAGGCAGCCAATCAACAATTCTCTTTCATCATTGATGTTTCTCTCTCTCTCTCTCTCTCTCTCTCTCTCTCTCTCTCTCTCTCTCTCTCTCTCTCTCCCCCCCCTTCCTATCTCTGAAATAAATATAAAAAACGAAAAAATAGATGCTCTATCTCATCTTATTTCCCCCCATGCTCTACATACTATGACCCAACTCAAGTTTTACCTTTTCCATGAAACTTTCCTTGCTTACCCAGAGTATCCTTGATTTCATTCTGTTATGAACTCCTACAGATTAGTATTATTTATTGCTTTTATTTATATTCAAATTTGTATTATTCACTGTTTTCTTTGGATTTGAGTCTGTAACAATTGGATGGTTATCTTTTTTTACGTGTAGCTATCATATCCTATAAGCATTTTTTATTATCCTGTTTCTTGACTAACTTAAACTGTAAGCCTCTCTTTGATTGCTATAAATATCCAGCCTCCAGCTATCTGATAGCCTGTCAAAATTGAAATTCTCCTTTCCTTTTTTCTTAGAAAATATCTAATTTTATTTATTCAGGAAATGTTGAGGCTTACTATATTTTAAGATTTAAAAAAATAGCCGGGACCGGTTTGGCTCAATGGATAGAGCATCAGCTTGGGGACTGAAGGGTCCCGGGTTCGATTCCGGTCAAGGGCATGTACCTTGGTTGCGGGCATATCCCCAGTAGGGGATGTGCAAGAGGCAGCTGATCAATGACTCTCTCTCATCGATGTTTCTAACTCTCTATCTCCCTCCCTACCTCTCTGTATAAAATCAATAAAAAATATATTTAAAAAATAAATAAATAAATAAATAAATAAATAAATAACACTGCCATCTCAACTTGTTGTTTTGCTTAAGACAGTGGTACAAATGTATAGGAAAGTTCTTCTTAGTATTGTTGTTTCATTTTCCCTAATATTTTCAAGATATATTAATATCTCAATGACATGTATTTTTATTACTTTTTGGATTTTTAGCATGATATAAAGTTAATTTGTTGAATGTTTTGACTAATTAAAAAAATAAAAATTATTCTTATATCATCTTTAAAAATAATTTAGGTTAAGTTAATAAATACCAAGTCATTTCAGAATAATGACATTTGTCACTAAGTTTCTTGAATTTTTATTCTTCTTTTTTAAAAAATCCTTTATTGTTTAAAGTATTACATGAGTCTTCTTCCCCCCCCCCCCCAACATTGACCTCTATCCCACCACTCCCTACCTCAATGGCAAGCCCTCACCTCCCCACACCCTACTGTCTGTGCCCATTGGTTTTGTTCATATGCATGCATATAAGTCCTTTTGTTGATCTCTTAACACTTCACCTCTTGTCTTCACTTATAGGTTGTACAGTCTGTTCGATGCTTCTATTTCTCTGGTTCTATTTTTATTCATCAGTTTATGTTGTTCATTATATTTCACAAGTGAGTGAGATCATGTAATATTTATCTTACTTTAACGGGCTTAGCATAATGCTTTCCAGTTCCATCCATGCTTTTGGAAATGGTAAGAATTCCTTCTTTTTTAACAATAGTGTAGAGTTCCATTTTGTAGATGTACCACAGTTTTCTAACCACTCATCTGCTGACGGGCACTTAGGTTGTTTCCAAATCTTAGCTATTGTAAATTGTGCTGCTATGAACACAGGACGCAAAGAGCCTTTCTGATTGGTGTTTCTGTTTTCTTGGGATACATTCCTACAAGTGGGGTTACTGGATCAAAAATAAGTTCCATTTTTAATTTTTTAAGGAAATTCCATACCGTTCTCCACAGTGGCTGCATCAGTCTGCATTCCCACCAGCAGTGCATGAGGGTTCCTTTTTCTCTGCATCCTTGCCAGCACTTGTCATTTGTTGATTTGTTAAATATAGCCATCCTGACAGGTGTTAGATAGGACTTCATTGTTGTTTTGATTTGCATCTATCAGATGATTGGTGACTTTGAGTATGTTTTCATATGTCTCTTGGCCTTTTGTATGTCCTCTTTCAAAAAGTGTCTACTTAGGTCCGTTGCCCATTTTTTGATTGGGTTGTTTATCTTCCTTTTGTTAAGTTGTATGAGTTCCCTGTAAAATGTTGGAGATTAAACCTCTATAGAAGATAACATTAGCAAATATGTTCTCACATGCAGTGGGCTTTCTTGTTGTTTTGTTGACTATTTCTTTTGCTGTGCAGAAGCTTTATATTTTGATATAGTCCCGTTTGTTTATTTTCTTCTTAGTTTCCATTGCCCTTGGAGCTATGACATAGTAGTATGTCTGATATTTAGTTGCCTATGGAATCTTCTAAGATTTTTAAGGTTTCCTGTCTTACATATAAGTCCTTTTTTCATATTGAGTTTATTTTTGTATATGGTGTAAGATGGTGGTCTAGTTTCTTTCTTTCTTTCTTTTTTCTTTTTTTTTTTTGCATGTATCTGTCCAATTTTCCCAACACCATTTATTGAAGAGACTGTTGGGACTCCATTATATGCTCTTGCCTCCTTTGTCAAATATTCATTGAGCATATTTTTGTTCTTCTTAAGTGATATCTATGAGAATAGAAAATTCTATTTGGGATATGACATATTGTAAGAAAAATTTATGGTAATAGGGATCCCAACCTTGAATGAGTAAATGGAAGAAGAACCAACAAAGGAAACTCATATGAATAAACAAAGGTGGAGGGAGGGCCAAGAGAAAGCTCAGTCATAGAGAAGAAAATGGCCAGTGCTGTCAAGTGCCACATACAGAAACAGTAGAGCTGAAAAAACTCCACAGAACTCGGTATTACTAGGGACCTTGGTGAAATCTGGTTTATTAAAGACTGAGTTTTCACTCAACTGTGAAGGGAAGAGAACTGATGAGATAACTGACTAGTTGAAGGTTGGTGGAAAGAATGATTTTTAAAAAATGATAACAGTGTAATTATAAACTATGGGAAATAGACACAGAAAGATCATTATGACAGTTAATAAGCTATTGATCATTATAAAATATATAACCAAGTAGTTAGTATTGTGACTGATCCGTGGTATACCAAAATACAGTGCCAAACTTTAAGATTTACACACATCATCAACACAAAGACTATATGCTGGATTGAATTGAATTGAGTTTTCATTGACATGTAAATAATTATCTTCTGTGATCTGGAATAATGTAGAATTTAATTTGTGCTTTTACTTCTGATAAGGTCATCGGACACTATTTATTGGAGTTCATGTGCCCCTGGGAGGAAGAAAAAGCCACCGACGACACAGGCATCGTGGTCATAAACACAGAAAGAGAGACAGAGAGAGAGATTCGGGATTAGAGGATGGAAGGGAGTCACCTTCCTTTGGTAAGAATTTCCTTCTTTTATTAAATTTGTGACCATAGCAATATTGCATTTGTTTGTACAACCCTAATTAACAGCCATCTACTTGTTTAGTTTATACTTTCTAAATTATGTTGTGTTGGACAGATTGGGAAGAAGTGGGAGAGAGAAAACTTGATCCTTATTTTTCTCTTGTGCATCTGCTTTATGAAGGTGAGAACTGTGTTAGATTTGTGAGTGAGGAGAAACACTTAAGTAGTAAAATTTAGTTGTATAAACTCTTGTTAATTTATCCCAGTAATAGTCATTGCTCTATGTAGTTTGAAAATTCAGGGGAAAATGTTTTATTAAGTTCCCATTTATATTGCTAATCTGCCCAAATTTTATTCTTAGGATGTGAAATTTTTGCTATTTTTCCTTTGAAAGTAGATACAGAATATCACATGTAGCGATATGGTAGTTGTTAACAATTCTTGAGAGCCTTGAGAGCCTGTGTACGTGACATAACCAAGAACCCGCCTTTCAGTTCCTTGACCATCCTGTCTCCCATGACCTCATTCACTGTAGTCAGCTCACCTACACATCCATGATAACTCCGTCTCAGAATGCACTCACCTTGATCTCTGACCACAGCTTCTCTTCTTATTTGCTTGTGCAACAGTTGACACCAAGTGCTGGTCAGGATGTGGAACAAGTGCAACTCTCTCATACATAGCTGCTCAGAATGCAAAAGAGTACAGACCCTCTGGAAAGCAGTTTTATAAAGTTAAAAATACACTAAGCATATAACATAACAATCCTATCCCTAGGCACCCACCCTAGAGCTATAAAGACTTATGCCCCACTGGAAAACCCATATAAGTACAAGTATCGCAATTCTATTCATAATTGCCCTGCACTGGAAACAACCTAAATATCCTTCAACAAGTGGCTGCACAAATAAACTGTACATTTCTACAATGGACTACTTTTCAGCAGTAAAAAGAATGAACTATTGATATACGTAGTTACACAGATAAATTTCAAAATCTCAAAGGCATTATACTAAGTGAACAACGACCGTCTCAAAAGGCTGCCTGCCATATTTTTCCATTTATATGACATCTCGGAAAAGGAAAAAAACTATAAGCAGTGGAAACCAGATTAGTTGTTACTAGGGGTTGAGGGAGTTTTTTAGTGAGTTATATTCAGCTTAGTTTTAGTATAAGTTAATTTATCATAGTCTACTCTTCTGAATATTACCATAAAATATAGCATATATGATGAGAGATGTATGTATGTGTTGTGTGAGGTAAATGAAAGTAGTTTTCATGATTGTTATAAGTAACACAAAATAATCATCATAATAATCATATTTATATATATATGTATATATATATATATATGTGTGTGTACATTATCTGCTTATGGGATTACATATTTATTTTCCCAAATTATGCTAGACTTAATGTAATGCTAAATTTAGGTTTAATTCCCCAAGATTACTTCAGGTAAGTGTTGTAGTGGAGGCAGGGGAGGTGTGAGTTTGGAGTGGTGATGAAGGAGGTGACCGGGGCATTTTAAGCTTAAAGTCATGGTAATGCATGCTCATGTCTCTGATTTTCCACAGACACTCCATCACAGCGGGTACAGTTTATTCTTGGAACTGAGGATGATGACGAGGAACACATTCCTCATGACCTTTTCACAGAACTGGATGAGATTTGCTGGCGTGAAGGTGAAGATGCTGAGTGGCGAGAAACAGCCAGGTGAGGATTTTTGTTGAAGGGCGAATGCATACTAAAGAATTTTCATGCTATTAGAAAAACAGATATATATTGCCATGATTTTGCAAACATCCACGAATGCTGCTAATTTCTGAAATTGCTCATCTGGTCTGGGCAGATCCTATAATGGGGTCTGGGTCAGAGTGAACTCTGAAGGCAGTAATTATAGTAAATAGTGACTCAGAGCCAACAGCAGCTGCAGTCCTAAAGATAAACAGTAGCATAATTTGTGTGTCATCAAGAAAACAATAGAAATCTAAAAGTAATTTATTTATTTTATTTTGATTGCTGGCCTGTGATATATGATAATTTGAGTTGGGGGTGTTAAAAAGGAAGAGAAATATAAGAGGCTTTTAAAAAATATTTTATTACTTTTTACAGTTAGGAATGGAGGGGAATAAAAAGTTAGAAACATCAATGAAAGAGAAACATTCATCAGCTGCCTCCTGCACACCCCCTACTAGGGATGTGCCCACAACCGAGGTACATGCCCTTGACCGGAATCAAACCTTGGACCCTTCAGTCCGCAGGCTTACACTACATCCACTGAGCCAAACCAGTCAGGGCATATTAGAGGCTTTAAGTATTGTCCTGGATTTATGTCCTATTTGGCCAGGATAAAAATATTTTATGTTTTTAGGATATGTATACATTCAAACATAGTGTTTTTCAAAATAACTTTCTCAAGATTACTTTTTCTGTCATTTGTAATTAATATTTCTATATTATCATATAGTCATTAAATTGCTATACAAGAATAATAAACTAAATTTTGCATTTACTTTTTATTTATTCTTGCTCATTGTCTCATTTATGTAACAAACACTTATAAATTACCTATTAGGTGCCAGGTGCAATGGCTATAGAACAATAACAAAAAACAAAATTTTCCTTCAACAGTCTCATAGTCTAATTTGGGGATTTAGGCAAGTAAACAAAATTGTAAATGAATGATGTAATACAGGTGCGCACAAGGAATTGTGGGCACACCTCGGATTGTCACTTACCCTCTGCCTCCCATGTTTTGTTGTGAACACCAGCCACATGGGGTCTTGTTGAAATGTAGATCTAACAGGCCTCATGCATAGTGTCAGATTCTAACACTCTTCCAGGTGGTGTCACACCAATGTTTTTGGGTAGCAATGATTTAAACCACAGGGCAAAAGAGAGGGAATCAAAATAGCTTACCAATATATATAAAATATATTTAAAATATAATAAAAAGGTATATATAAAACATAAAAATATATTTGGACCACTTTCCATGTTATCAGTACAGATGTACATCTTATAATGACTGCATTCCATTTAATTATATGAATATTTACTTATTAATTTATTTAGGTTGTTTAATTTTTTGGGGGTAGTCATTGATGCAGTAATTATTTACTCATGTTTGACATTATTTTGTAGGTTATTTATGTAGGGTGAATTTCCAAAAAGTGGAACCTATGTACAAAAAAGCAGATTTTTTTTTTTTTTACTTTGGAATATATATATAAAAACTATCTTCAAAAATTGTTTTGGTAATTTATACTTTAACATTCTATGAGAGTGCTTATTTTGCCCAAATCCTTGCCATACTAAATCACCAAACTTTATTTTTACAGATGAAAAATAAATCGCATTGTTTTGACTTGAAATTCTTTAATTATTAGTGAGATGGAACATCTTTTCATATGTTTGAAATTAATTAATTTATTTGAGAGAGAGGAAAGGAAAGAGGGAGAGAGAAGAGAGAGACATTTATTGTTGCTCCACATATTTATGCATTCATTGGTTGATTATTTTATATGTCCTGACCAAGGATCAAACTTGCAATCTTTGTGTATAGGGATGACACTAACTAACTGAGCTACCTGGCCAGGTCCTCATATGTTTTTATTTTATTCTTATGAACTAATTGCTTCTTTTCTTTACCTATTTTATGTAAAATCATAATTTTCTTTATTTGCCATTTTTAATACCTAAAATTGATGGAATTTTATTCTGTGTAAATTACGTTTTAAGTAAAAATTTACAAAATTAACAAATTTTCCTTATAATGCCTTCTATTAAAATATTTAAAAGATAAAACCAAATTTAAAATTGTTTTTATATAACCAAGTTGATTTCAGGATTAAGAACTTTTTACTTTATATTTTTCTTCCAATTGCATCAAAAACAAAATACTTTGGAGTTTTTAAATATACATAATATATGTAGTCATCTTCTTTACTTGATGATAAACAATCTTCAAATAAACCACAACCATCTTCACAAATTAGTGATATAACTATTTATATGACTTGTTGATAAGGAATTTAAAGTCCTAACCTCCCTGTATAAGTTTAGAAACATCAGTCTTCAAATAGTTATAAAATATAGGTGTTCCTGTTTGTTCATTAAATTCCACATAGTGAGACAAGAACATGTATTTCTTATAACTGCCAAGAAAAATATGATACAGATTCATAGATAGAGAGTGGGCAGACAGCTCTGGAGGGGCTGGGGTAGGAGGACTGAGCAAAAAGTAAAAAAAAAAAAAAAAAAAAAAAAAGCGACAGAATTCCTTAATATAGTGGTGATTTAGGGAGGTAGGAGAGGGTGGAGGAGGAGGAAGGTATAGAGGGGATAAATTGTGATGGGAAAAAGGAATAGGTGTTCCCAGATGACTTGAAGTCTTTCTTTCTTTACTCTCATTCCATAGAATATAGCTAAGAAGTAAGCTTGGAATATGTGTTTTGGCATGAGTAGCTCTCTTATTCTTAAAATGCTTGTTGATGTTTTCACCTTCCAGATAAAATAGTTATCTGTTCCTTTGCCAATAGCTTCTTGTAATTTTCCCAGTCTCATAAAGCTAGTAGGTGACAGTATAATTTAGAATCTAGTCTTTCACTCTGTCACAGTTGAGCTGATAAGATTTTTATCATGTTCTAAAGGTTGAGTTGAACAAAGTGTTTGTCCTGAATCACCAAAATGTATTGCTATTTATTTATCCTATTTAATAAGAGGGAATATGCAAATTTACTGTTACACCATCACAAAGATGGCAGTGTCCATAGCCACAAGATGGCAGCACCCAATCCCCTCAGATCCTCTGGAGTCCCCCAGTCCTTTCAGCCCAGCCAGGAGGGCAGCAGGCGCATGGTGCGGCCAGACCCGCCCTCTGCCCATCAGCCACCCAGCCACCCAGGGCAGGCTTGAGATGCAGGCAAGCCTTGGATGGTGGCTGTCCAGCCATGCAGGGCCACCTGAGGCTCAGATAACCAGGGCTGGTTGAGGCTTGCGCTGCTGGCAGTGGCAGCAGCAGAGATGTGATGGGGGCATCGCCTTCCCCTGATCACCAGGTTGCCTCCCATCCCTGAGGGCTCCCAGACTGTGAAAAGGATCGCCCTCCTCCCACACCTCCCCCCCCAACCCTGTCCTGCAGTGCATGAATTTTCATGCACCGGGCATCTAGCCTCTAGTAAAGGATAAAAGAGATGATCTAGCTAATTATTAGTATTCTTGAATATTATTAGCTAGGACATGTGTTCTCAGACATCTCTTCCAGAACCTCATGCATGGTGCAGCTGTTTAAGGTTCAGGGAGACATCTGATTAGCAATCAAATAGTAACAGACATTGAAGAGGAGGGTACTTGAATTTTGGCTGAGACAATACATCAGGGAAGAACAGTACGTATTTATTGAAGACTAAGAAATGTAGTGGGGCCGAAACCGGTTTGGCTCAGTGGTAGAGCGTCAGTCTTGGACTGAAAGGTTCCAGGTTCGATTCTGGTCAGGGGTATGTACGTTGGTTGCAAGCACATCCCCAGTAGGGGGTGTGCAAGAGGCAGCTGGTCGATGTTTCTCTCTCATCGACATTTCTAGCTCTCTATCTCTCTCCCTTCCTCTCTGTAAAAAATCAATAAAATATATTTTTAAATAAAAAAATGTAGTGGGTTTTAAAGTGGCAGAAGTAACTTTGTTCTGGTGTCCCTAATTCATTTAAAAAGGCTAATTAGTTAATTCATTACTCCAACTAATTTGTCAAATGAAACTTTATTCTAATAGATCATTAGCATACCATTTGAAGCACTTCATTCTTTTGATTAGTATTCCAGGGGGATTAATATGTTTCTACCCTAGTAGAAATAAAAAGAATATAGTTTATCAGCACATTGCACCTGTCATATTTCACATCTTGAATAATTCATGCCCACTGTTGTTGCCAAGTAAAACTTGAGCAAAGTTTTAGATTTTGAAGTGAAATTTTTGAATCAAAATTATTTAATAAATGTTTGTGAAAAACAGCTGTTCACTTTTAAAAACCCTAAAGAAGCCATATGACAAGGACTAATGAAATCAACAAGATTAGAGTGTTCTGCTTATAAATAACATATAATGTTATTAATAGGAAAGTGCTCAAAGACACCACAGCTGTGCACTTGTGGAGACAACATGCTTGACTCACTGTGGTTGTCCTTTAAAAAGTGCTTTCCACAAAGGAGCTCAGAGGAGGCCAAGCAGGGGTAGCAGTGAGGCCTCTGATGCATACATGGTAGTATAGAAAGGATGACTACCTCAGAATGATTTTATTGATGTTGTGAAGCATTTGATATTCAAAAGTAGCAAAGGTTCAAGTCATCACGATTTTTCAGTGCAGTGTGAGGTGTGAAGATAATATGGATTAAGAACACCTAATATCCATAAACTCTAAGTTTGGTTATATTTCATCCCCCCCCCTTTTTTTGTTAAAATAGGCCCTTTTTAATTACATATGTTATTCTCAGGCCCCCACCCTAACCATTTCCCCACTCTAGCTCTCCATATCCCCAGCTCTATCCAAAGGAGGATGTTTTCTCTTGAGAATCTGTGACTTCCCTGAGGCTATAATTTTGGATGTTATACTAACTAACCTCTCTTTCTATATTTGTACAAGCAGAGAATAAAATTTTTTTGCAAAGGTCATCAGAATTAGTGAAAATGGACTAAACAGAGTTAATATATATGGAAAACATCTATTTCTAATTTACAGAAGAAATTTGTTTTGTAGACTTTTAATATGAGTATTATAGAGATTATTGCCAACTTAATCCTCAAAGAATTAATGAAACACCTCTTTTAGGTTGTTGTAGTTTAGTACAAAGAGATTCCAATGTGCTAATCATGGATGAAAACAGATGCAGATACTGAAAGAAATCAAAATATTCTTTGAGTTTAAAACTGTCCCTCCCCCATAGAAAATGGCATGCATTTGGCCTATAAGCTTGTTTTTTTTTTTCATTGTCCATCACTTCTCATTCATGCCTGTGAGATTCTTGTTTGCTTTGGTTTGCTATTCAAACAAATGTCAGCTGAGTTTATTTGAAAACTGGAATAAATTGCAGCACTTTAGGTCATTAACTGCAATCAGGCATTTTGCAACTGACAGCATACTCAGTGACTACGAAATTTTGAATCAGGATTTGGTGTGTTTTCAGACCTGTTAATTTCTATCTTTGAAGTTTAAAATGGAATGAACCCCTGTTCCCTCCCCCCCACCTCCCAGAAATTAGCTATACTTATGTACTATATATATATATATATATATATATATATATATATATATATATATATATTAATGTAGTCTTTAAAATATTAAAATATCTTAAAGCTTTTAGCATTATCTTAAAGCCTTTCACATTATCTGAAGTGGTCACAAAACCTGTGGCTAAATCAAACCATTCGTGCAAATAACTTACATGTGGCCCTTTTAACTACCCAGTTGTTTGGAATTCCCAGAGACTTCATTCTCCTTTTCCAAAAGGCCAAGGACCCAATTTGAAGGAAATTATTCTAAAGAAAAGAATATACCTTTTGGATTTGTTTTTAAAATGTCTTTTCAGACAGACACATAGATCAATGCAGCAGAATAGGGAACTGGGAAAGACCAACACAAATACTGCTGAGTTTTGACAAAGGGAACTTTTAAATAAAGGAAGACTTGTCTTTTGAACAAATGGTACTGAAACAATTATCTACAGGTAAAAAAAAAAAAATTAGCCTCAGTCTAAACCTCGCAGTGTATACAAAAATTAATTGACAGTAAATTGTAAATTTAAAACATAAAGCTATGAAGATTTTAGAGAAAGGATAGGTAAAAATCTTAAGGACCTGGGGCTGGATGTTGAGTTTTCATACATGATATCAAAAGTACATCCATAAAAGAAAAGAATTATAAATTAGATTTCACTCAAACTAAAAACTTTTGTACTGTGAGAGACCCTGTTAACAGGATGAAAAGACAAGTTACTGACAGGGAAAATTCTTTGTGGTGTGGAACAGTGTTGTATCATGATTGTGTTAGTCGTTGCTGAATCTATCTATACGTGGGATAAAAATGCATGAGACTACACATTCACCCCCACCCCCAGGAATTCTTAAAATTTAAGTTTTCACTTTCAAGTTGCCAAGATAAATTGATGTAGATGTTTTTATTATTTATTTAATTATCTTCACTGTTATTTGGAAGTATAAAATTTAACTATAATTTTCCTTAATGAAAGGGTTTGCGAATGTATGTAGATCTAGAAGCCCAGTAGTATTTAAAAAAATGAATTTATTACCTGTGTTATCACAGCTCACAAATAACATTATTATGTGGTTTAGTTTATGAATTTACATTTAACTAATTATGAAATGATAATATTTTAATAATGTAGAAATATTTTTCAGGATTTCTTATTTGAGTAAAAAATTTAAATACAACATTTTAAGAGTGGTTTTATATATAGAGATGACACAGCCTTCCCATGGTCCCTCCTCGGCTGGCCAACCTCCTGAGTCCCTCCCTGGCCCCAATCATGTACCAGTGGGGTCCCTTGGCCTGGCCTGCATTCTCTAGCCATCCAGGCTGAGGGTCCTCCCCCCCCTCCCGAATTTCATGCACCAGGCCTCTAATATTCTATAAAATTGCCAGCAATTTTAGAAATACTGACAGTGATTTAGGACTTAAATATAAGTTTTTTTGTTTGTTTGTTTTTGTTTTTGTTTTGTTTTTTTAACCTTCAAGTGTTTTATATAGGTACCAGAGGCCTGATGCACAAAATTCATGTAAGGGGCTTGGCCCTTGCAGCCCCAGCCAGCCCTCCTTCACACCCCCAGATGGCCCTTGCAGCACTTTGCAGCCTTGGCTAGTCTTTCCTCACAGCCTTGGTCAGCCCTTTGCAGCCCCAGTTTCATCCGGACAGTTGTCCGGAAGGATATACAGATGGTCGTTCTGCTGTTCTGTCTAATTAGCATATTAGCTCTTTATTATATAAGATAGTTATATAGGTATAGTTATACCTATATTTTTGTAGGTATAGTTATTTCCCCCTATCTGAAACTTTTGGCCAGCATACCTATTCTCCTCTATTGTGTTTCTTTTCACTTCCTGGAAATTTTTGCTGCCTGAACACTGAGGACAGATCCACAGCTTCCTTTATCTTCCTTTGGAACTCTGCACATTAATCATTCTGACTAGCCCTTTTGGTTAGTTATTTTTGACTGATCCACTGTTCCCTAACTAGTTAGTGCTACGTATTTGTCCTCTGTTGGCATTGGATCATTTGATTATGCAAAACAGTAACATAATATCATATAGGGAATTGGAGTGGTATAGCATTGAGAGGAAGCTAGGGCAAAATGACACTAGAGAAAGAATGAGGAAAATGGTGAGCATAAGCTTTGCCATTATGGCATTTCACTTGTATTCTGAATGCCTGGTGAGGCAGCCAATTAGTGATTGTCTCTCATTATTGATGTTTCTCGCTTCCTTTTGGAATCAATAAAAAAATATTTTTAAAAATATTTAGTTTTAAGACCTCCCACTAAAGAAAAATGAGTATTCTTTTATTTTCTTTTGCATCTCTTTCAATTATCATTATTTTTTCATGAAGTATATATACTCTTTCTTACTTCCATAATGGATTCATTGTAACCACTGATGAAACATTTACATCAAAATTCTTCTTCAGAGCTAGACAAATTAATATAAAAATATACGAGTTTTTTGTTTTAATATGTTATTCAACGACAAAAAAGAATGCCTGTTAAATGAAAGAAACTGAGTGACTTGGGATAGCTTTTACTTACTTTCAAAACCCATGAAACCAAGAAGCAATTGAATATCTTTATATTTATATTTTTAATATATGTATTTATTGATTTTAGAGAGAGGAAGGGAGAGCGATAGAAAGATACAAACATCGATAAGAGGCATGTGCTCTGACTGGGAATAAAAATGGTGACCTTTTGGTTCCTGGGTCAGAGTTCAACCTCTGAGCCACACCAGCTGGACTATTTCTACTTTTATTATTAAGATAAAGCATCATGGATCTATAATATAATATTCAATGTTTTGATAATATTTATTTGTGTAGGTGGTTGAAGTTTGAAGAAGATGTGGAAGATGGAGGAGAGAGGTGGAGCAAGCCTTATGTGGCAACTCTTTCATTACACAGCTTGTTTGAGTTGAGAAGTTGTATTCTGAATGGAACTGTGTTGCTGGACATGCATGCCAATACTTTAGAAGAAATTGCAGGTATTTCCCCCCCACCCCCCTTAGTCTATTACACTCATGCCTGCAGCTGATCAATGTTGCTATCTTTTCCTTATAATTCTATACATGTGTGATCTTTGAAAAATAAATTCTCATGATCAGTGTATGACATCTTAAAAATAATTTTTCTGACCTTCTTATTTAACATAAAATAAGTTGAATATTAGAAAAATATGGTTAAACTGCTCCAGTGGCAAGTCTAGAACTTAGTTTTTATTGTTTTCACCATTATATTTAATTAGATTGTCACCATTAGAAAATGTAAGGAAAAAAATCATAAAGCTAGAGATTGATATTTTTCAATATTAAAGTACATGAAATAACCAAGAGAGAAAATTCTATTTAGTAAATGGGAAAAATGTTAGTTCACAAAAGAATAGGAAGGTAGGAAGGTATGATCATTTATTTTAAACTCTTGACTCCTAGAGGCTGCCAAGTGATGCAGTTGAGATTAGTTTGTAATTGAATACTATGACCAGCCCTTGGGGTGAATGATTTGCATCAGAAGCCTGTATGGCAACATCACACAAGCAGTGATATTTAGGAAGCATCTTACTGATATTCTAGAAATAGAGGCAAAGAACTCATGTATCTTATGGTTTGAAAAACAAACACATTTTAGTAAAAACAAAATAATACAAAACACTGAAATGAGTTTTGAAAGAGGTGAACACGCCTTTTGAGGGGAGGAATGGGAAGGGATGGGGCTTAGGGTACTCAGCACACACTGATTGGTGGTTTCATATAAGGCATATGATTAGGCACTTAGGTACTTAGAAATCAAGAGCTTAGGGTATTTGGCAGGTGCTGATTGGTGGTTCAATGTATAGTCCATATAAGGTGCCTGGTTAAGTCTTCGGGAATGCCCAGGACACAGTTGCAGGTTATGTCATGCTCCGTCCATAACGGAGGATCTATCAACTGCATTACTGTCTGAAGAAAGAGTAAAATTCCAGGGGATATAGCCCAGATTTTAATGGCATTTTGATTAATTTAAAGATTATATATTTGGCTGTTGGTGCTGATAGGCATACATACATTGCATTACATGTGAAAAGTAAGTATGGGAAGATAATAGTAAGCCTAAACAAAACAAAAAAACAACAACAAGAAAGATAGCCTTTCTTCCCTAAATTTCATGTAACACCTATGAAGAGCTTATTACTTTTTAAAATACATAATTGGAGCATAAAAGACTGTGTAAAGTTAAACACAGTATTTGTTTTTTTAAGAAAAACACAGGAAGGATTCAGTCATAGGTCACACTACACCAAGATTTAAAATGTCAATTTAGAAATTAGCAAACTTTCGGTGGAACAGTAGCTGTCCAGCTCAATTTTTTAGCTTTATATTATGGGGTCTTGCTAATGCCCAATACACTTTTTTTCCCATTGACACATAATTGACATACAATATCCTGTTATCTTCAGATCTATACCATAGACATTTTAATAATATTAATTCAATTCCTCCACCGATTTTTAAAAATAGTTTTTAAAATTTTGTACATTCTTTATATTTTTTTGGATAGCAACCCTCTATCAAATGTATGATTTGCAAATATTTTCTCCCTTTCAGTAGGCTGAATGGTTTTGTTGATGGATTCCTTTGTTGTGCAAAAGCATTTTAGTTTGATGTAGTCCTACTTATTGTGCTAATGCTGCTTTTGCCTGAAGAGACTGAGCCAAAAAATATTGCTAAGATAAATGTCACAGAGCTTATTGTCTATGTTTTCTCAGAGGAGTTTTATGGTTTCAGGGCTTACATTTAAGTCTTTAATTTAGTTTTAACATATTTTTGTACATGGTGTAAGATAGTGATCCAGTTTCATTCTTTCGCATGTAGCTGTTCAGTTTTCCCAGGAGCATTTATTGAGACTTTTCCCCATTATATATTCTTGACCTCTTTTCATAGGTTAATTGATAATATATGTGTCAGTTTATTTCTGGATGCCTATTCTATTTTGTTGATCTATGTATCAGTGTTTATATCAGAATCATATCATTTTGATTACTATAGTTTTTTAATATAGTTTCAAATCAGGGAGCATGATACCTCACCCTTGGTTCATTTTTCTTAAGATCGCTTTGAATCTTCTGGGTCATTTGTGGTTCTATACAAATTTTAGGATTCTTTGTTCTAGTTCTGTGAAAAATGCCATTGATACTTTGATGGTAATTGCTTTGATTCTGTAGATTGGGCAGTATGGACATTTTAACAATATTCATTCTTCCAATCTATGGGCACGGAGTAACTTTTCATTTATTTGTGTTTGTCTTCAGTTTCTTTCATCAATGTCTTATCATTTTCAAAGTACAGGTCTTTTACCTCCTTGGTTAAATTTAGTTCTGGTTATTTTATTTTTTGATACAATTGATAGAGGAGAGTCACATAATAGGAATAGAATCACAGTTGTTTAATAGCTACTCATTATAGAGAAGAGATTTTCATACAGACCTGGGAGACTGAAGGACATGTTATAAGGCCCTGATGATAAGGCAGCCTAGAGTCCATATCAAGGACAGAGCCTGTCTGAAGGAAGGCAGCATTCTGGGGCTAATCTCTTGAAGGACAATGAAATAAGGCAGGCCCTAACAACTCACTAACTTCAAATTCCCCCTACCCCCTAAATTTATATAAGAGTTTATTTGAACTGAAATTGGAGAGAGCAGAATTTTCTTCTGAGGATGGCCTGCTGCTCTCCTCATACTACTGGCATTATTGGAATAAATGGTCATATTATGATTCAACCCTGTCTCTGCTTAATTTGGTTTAAATAGTGACAGGTGACCTCAGGCCCATTTAGTGCTTGGCATCACAATTGTGTGTGGGACTGTTTTTTCATTTCTCCTCCTGATAACTCATTATTAGTGTATAGAGACACAACCTGTTTCTGTATACTAAGTTTATATGCGGTGACTTTACTAAATTCATTTATTAGTTCTAATAGTTTTTTGTATATGGAGTATTTAGAGTTTTCTATATATAGCATCATGTCATTTGCAAATAGTGACAATTTTACTTCTTCCTTTCCAATTTGGGTGCATTTTACATTATTTCGTTGCCTAATTGTTGTTGCTAGGCCTTCCAATACTGCACTAAATAAAAGTGACTTGAGTGGCTATCCTTGTCTTGTTCCTGACCTCAGATGAAATGCTTTCAGGTTTTCACCACTGAGTATAATGTCAGCAGTAGGCTGGTCATGTATGGCCTTTATTATATTGAGGTACTTTTCTTCTGTACCCACTTTGTTGAGCATTTTTTAAAATCATAAATGGGTGTTGAATTTTGTCAAATGGGTTTTCTACATCTTTTGAACTGATTATCAAATTTTTATCCTTTGTTAATTTGGTATACCGTGTTGATTGACTTGCAGATGTTGAACCATTCTTGTGTCCATGGGATAAATCCCACCTGGTTATGGTACACTAGTGGCCCGGTGCACGGAATTCATGCATGCGGGTGTGAGAGTGTCCCTCAGCCCAGCCTGCACCCTTTCTAATCTGGGACACCTCAAGGGATAACCAGTGTTGGACATCACTCTCACAATCCAGAACTGCTGGCTCCTAATCACTCCCCTGCCTGCCTGATTGCCCCTTACTGCTTCTTCCTGCCAGCCTGATTGTCCTTAACTGCTCCCCTGCTGGCTTGATTGCCCTAACCACCTCTGCCTCCACCCCACATCTGGGACTCAGGATTCCCTCCTCCAGCCGACCACAGGCAGCGGGATCGGGGCTTCCCTCCCTCTGGTCAGCCATAGGCAGCCACAGGGGATGGTGGGTAGGTGGCTTTGCCTGGGCTGCAGCCGCAAGTGCTGGTGGTTGGGGACCACGGGGTGGGTGGCTTCTTGTCTCCCAGGCCACAGCCAGCCACAGGTACTGGTGCCCAGGACTGTGGGGTGGACGGCTTCTCCATTTACCAGTCTGTAGCCTGCTGCAGTTGCTGGTGCCTGGACTGCAAGCGGGCAGCTTCTTTGTCCTCCCTGGGATGCAGAGTGGGAGACTACTCAGGCTGGCTGATCGCCCACAACTGCCCTCCCCTGTTGGCCATCTTATGTCCACATGGGGGTGGCCACCTTGTGAGTTGGAGTGACAGTCAATTCGCATATTACTCTTTTATTAGATAGGATAATTTGTGACCATAATGATTAACAATAAGGCCTGAACTTTTCTCTTTACCTTTATCTATCACAATTTTCTATATGTTAGGCAATTACTAACATATTAGTCACTTGTTTCTGTTTTCCAAAATCTAGATGTAATAGTTTATTTTAAGGGCTCTAAACCTGAGTACTTTGCAAAATGCCTGGGCTCTGCAGCATTAATGTGTTTTTTTTTAGGAATTTTCTAGCAGAAGATTATGACTCAGATATTGTTTTAGAATGATGAAGGATTTTTATATCAGTATTTTGATGTTTTTAATAGACTCTTAGATCATTTTTTAAAGAGGTTTTATAGACTTAGTAGGAGAAAATCCCATTTATATCTGGCAGGTCTGTTAAGAATTTCTGGTATAATTAAAGTAGGATTTTCTTTTGGATAAAGTTAATTTAAAAATGTCTATTTCCCAATGTTTCAGGGAATTCAGAATAAATGTAAACTTCCTTCAAAATATTACTTAACCCTTTCAAAACCCTTTCAAAATATATTTTCTTACCACAACTTATTCCGATATGAAGATTAATTGTATTAAAATTATTCTTAATTACATTTTATAAATCATAGGCAATTTATGGTTGTGTTAATCTCTTTAAAATATAACACTGTAAAGATGAATAATGGAAATATTCTTTCTGCAAGGTGTATACTTTAGCCTAATTCTGTCAATGAGAGTAAGAATTTAAAAGAAAACTAAAGTTAGTACCATGGAAAAATTAATCATTGCTCTCAACTCATTAAATTAAGTTTTATTGTCTAAATTCTTTCAGTGAAGTAAAAATCCATAGTTTGCTCTACTGAATGTAATATGCAAATTTAGGAGTA